TACAATCTATTTATTTTTGATAAATTAATATTACACTAAAAAAAAAAGAAAATTTGTTTTTAAATAAAATTCTTCCAATTTGTTGACTTCATGAAAATTTAAAAAAGGTGACGAATTAAAAAAAAATAAAATTAATAAGAAAAAATATATAAAATAATATTAATTTATTTCAAGACTATTTCATAATCATATTGTGAATATAAAAGTTTTATGTTAAAGTTGTTGTTTATATGATGAAGAAACACGATTTAACTCAAATAATTTGAAATCAACTCAGCTCTCTTAGTTAAATTGTAAAATTAGAGAGGATTGAAGTTATATAGAGATTAAATAGTATTTAAGAAAAAGATTTATTATCAATCAAATTTTAGCTTACTCATTCAAAATGATACTAAAGTTTAATTGATATAGAAGTTAAATCAAATTAGAGCAGTCTATAGAAATATTTAGCAGAATAAAATACAAAGAATAATAAAAAAGGAGTTTTAAAGATATTATAAATATTATATTATTTTTTTTGAGAATTTTATTTAGAAATTTAGTGATTAATTATATCGACTAAAGGATACATAAAATATAAAAAATATACTTATTTTTTCATGAATATATTAATGGGCTACTCATTAGAAAAATATCAAGACTTAGGGTTATATAAATTTTAATAGAATTAGGATAATTTAAATAGTGGCGTGAATGAATATAAATTAGATATAAAATATAAAAAATGATTTAGTAATTGAATTTAAAGTTAAAATGTTAATAGGATGATCATTAAGATGAGATAGACATAGTTTGTTATAATTAATTTTGTACAGAATTCAGATTAAATTGTTTTAAATGTTAAAAAAAAGGAAGAATCCATCAAGATCATTTTGATGATGTTGAAAAAATCAATAGTTTAATTGAATTCATTGAAAATAAAAATAAAGAATGTGATAATTTAATTGATGATCTTAACTAATAATTAGAAAGTGTGAATCAATCATTTTGTTAATTAAAAATGGGAATCAGATAGAAATATTAATTATATTAACAAAAATTAGTACTTTTGAATTCTTAATAAATAAATGATTTTTTGAATTCTACAATCAAATTTAATGAATATAAACAATCAATTACAACAATCATTGTAGAATAGACTAAAAAATTAACTAATTCATTTAATAATTTATATCAATAATTATAATTATCATCATTTAATTATTATAAAAATGATGATAATTGTATTAAAATATCTGAAGAATTATATTAAAAAGGTATTAATTATATTATTATCATATCTTAGGTTATTAATTATATATGGAAGATAAGTATGAATAGGCTATTGCAATATTAGATAAATCAATATAATAAAATCTCAATAACCATAATTCTTTATGGTGTAAAGGTATATTGAATTATAATTTAATTAATAGGTGCATGTTTAGCATAATTAAATTAATATGAAGAAGCAATCAAATGGGAGATCCTAAGCATGTTAGATCCTTATGTGAGAAAGGTATATTGAATCATAATTTAATTAATAGGTGAATGTTTAAGACTAATGAAAAAATATAATGAATCCTTAAAATTTATAGATTAAGCATTATCCATTGATTAACAACATATTCCTTCTCTATAGACTAAAGGTGCCTATTATATTTGTTATTTTTAGGAGATTGTTTAAGGGATTAATTAAAATATAAAGAAGCTTTGATATATTATGAAAAATCATTAAAAATAAACCCAAATAATCAATATTCAAAGAATTAAAAGAGTATATTTAACATATTAGATTAGATTTTTGTGAGAATAAATTAAAGCGATGAATATAAAAATTAAAAAATAAATTATTATTTATTTTCTAAATTTCTTTAATTTAAGAGTATGGATTTTTTTAAGTCCTATTATTTTGAGATAATGAATAAATTTTTCTGTTAATTTTTGGATTAATAGATCTTCTCTACATTATTTTTTCATAATTTAATCAAAATTTTTAAAGTGTGCTATTAGATTAGTTTCTTATAAATAATTTTAGAGGCTTAATTTAATTTATTTATATAGAATTTTCAGATGTGATTTTTAATTTTGAGTATTGAGAATTTATATTATATTTCATACTCTTATATAGTTTCAATCTTACTTGGTAGGTAAAGAGAAATTAATGAACTTTTGTAAAAATTTAGAGAACGGTAGTTAAATCTAATGGGGAATATGTCCGTATCTTTTAAACTATGATTAAAGAATCAATTATTTATAAAAATTTTTTAATAATGAAATTATCAGTTTGCAGGGTGAATTTCTTTCGGTTGTCTTTTAGCAAATTAATCTTATAA